TGTATCAGGGAGTTTTCTGGATTGTTACAGTTAGTCCCGATAAACAGTTATTTAGATGGTAATTAACTTGCAAAAAAAACTGAATTTGATGAATTAAATTTAATAACAAAAGTTTATTTTTAAATTTAATTTAAACTTGCAGAGGGAGAAGGAATAGAAATAAATCGCAAAAACTTGAGTCCAAGGCAGCAAGTTTTTTTGGAATTAGTTCAAACTGAATCTAATTATGTCAGCATTCTTCATACAATTATGACGGTTCGTAATTATATAATAGGTAGTTTAATTAAATTGTAAATATATCTCAGTAAATTCTTTCTTCTTATTTAATTTCGATTAAAAATCTATGGTATGGTATGAAAAAAAAAAATTGGTACGAATGAGAAAAGTAATAAAAAGTGGTAAATGGCATTGAGACTGTTGTCAGTGGCACTTATAAATATATAAATATATAAGTTTTTTTCGTTTAATTAGCGTCGAAGTTGCAAATAAGTTGTTTACTCCAGGTTTTCAAACTTTGGAAAATGTGAGAGCTTTTCACGAATGATAAACAATAAAATTATTACAGAATAAACAATTGTTTTAAGACAACTAGCCATTACATCATTTTTAAAAATTTATTACTACTTTTTTAATTCACTATTCCATGTCTGCAAGATTTTAGCCCATTAAGTAAATTCTTTTTAATTGATATTAGATATGTGCTACATATACATTTTATACTTTTTTATACTATTATATTTTATATCGATTTGCAATTTTAAACTAACTAGAACTTGGAATAATTTTGTCTAATATCATTTGTGATGAATTTGATTTTAAATGATAATATATGTGTAAATGATATCACTGAATTGCAATTATTATAGATGTTCAAAAGTCCTCTTGAAGAAATGCTCGAGACCAGCCCAAATGAAGCGATATTAAATGCTACTGAATTGAAAATAATTTTTGGAAATCTTCCGCCAATTTATGATTGCACCGTAAAATGCTGGAAGAATTACGATGGGCTTCGTCTCATTGGGCAGAAGATACAAGCATAGGCAATATAATATTAAAACATGCACCAGATCTTGTAAAAGCATATCCTCCATTCGTCAATTTCTTTGAAAACATGAAGGAGATGCTGGTGCAATGTGATCAATCCAAAACCAGGTAAGATAAAATACCAACTAAACACATTTCATTAATGTTAAATAAACTATGAAATAAAGTTAATATTTTTTTAACAAATTATGTAGAAGTAATGTTATAAATAATTTACAATACAGTTAGTGTTTAAGATCTTTAAGTATGTAGTTATTACTACATTTGCCATCAAAATATTCTTTATATTTATTGAAAATTAGTTTTTATTTTTTGTATAATAATTAATATAACTATCAATAAGTTAATAAATTGATTATAACTAATTAATTTTCAGATTTCATGCATTTTTAAAAATTTGTCAAACGAGGCCAGAATGTGGTAGACAATCTCTACAAGAATTAATGATAAGGCCTGTACAGAGATTACCCAGTATTAGTCTTTTATTAAATGGTATTTATAAATTTTGTAAAATTTGGAATTTATTTGGAATATATCTATGTACTATATAATCTTTATATACTTATATTATACAAAACTATTACATATTCTTATTTTCAGACATTTTAAAGCATACTCCAAAAGTAATTTGGATTATAATGCCTTAGAGAAGGCTCTTGAAAGTATAAAAGAAGTTATGACATACATCAATGAAGATAAAAGAAAAACTGAAGCACAAATGGTTATGTTTGATATTTTTAATGACATCGATAATTGCCCAGTAAGTTTTTAATGGTATTATTATCTTTTGCTATAAAAATATTTTTTAGTAATTAAGCCCGGTGCACACGACGCCAGATTTCTTGATTAGTGCATGTCGGACAGTTTGTTACCTAGCAACGATATGATAAATCATAATTTACGATCTTGCCCGACATATTTCACGATCTTTGTCAGCCAGATTTTATGTTTAAGCCTTCTATTCACAACGACAGTATCCTTTTAACATAATTTCTGTCTAAAACCGTTGCCTAGTAACGTCGGAAACTGATTTCTCAACAACTTCTGGCCTCGAAAATTACTGCCGTATTTTACGAATAAAATAAGTGAAAATTTGGTGCAAAATTCTTGCTCACCTTACCAGAAAACTTGACAGAAATCCTGTTACAAGAAATACTAGCGTCGTTGCACCGGGCTTTTGTTTAGTTTTTTATGGCAAAATTATTTTATAAAATATTTTGTTTATGCCGAAAATAATGCTCAACTATCATTTATGTTAATTATGAATTATTAAATTTTATATTTGTATTTTAGCCACATTTAGTATCATCACATAGAAGCTTTATCTCACGTTGTGAAGTAATGGAACTAAGTGATGGTTTAAGTGGTCGAGGTGATCATCTGGTTTTATATTTATTCTCTGATATTTTAGAAGTTTGTAAGAAACGATCCAAAGCCTTTAATAGCCTTAAAAGTCCAAATGCAATAGGTATGAGGATATCAATATACAGTTGATAAGTTACAATACATAGGTTAAAATCAATGTGTTTGATACAGGTAGTACGCATTCCACAAAATTAGGAGCAGGTAAACCTTATAAACATGTGAAGTTAATGCCTCTAAGTCATGTTAAAAGAGTTATAGACATTCATGAAACAGAAGGTAAAGTAATTAACATTTTGCTTGATCAATATTTAAACATTATCACTAATAAGTTGTTCTATTATTTCTATTAGATTGTCATGCAGTATTTGCTTTAACTTGTCGCAGCAATCAGGAACTTAAAGAAAAGTTATATTCGTTTACAATTACTGAAGAAGATGTTGATAAAACCACTTTTCTACGCAGCCTCTGCAGGCAGATGGCGAACACAGTTTGCAAAGCTGATGCTGTAAGTGATATTTTAATTTCTGATTGTGCATATAAGTGTACTCTTATAATTTTGTACATCTTTTTTTTGTTTGTATTTTTTCACTATTTTTTTTATGCCAAAGTATAAGGTGTAACAATTTATGAAGAGCTTAATTTAAAAAAATGTTTATCAATTTTGACAGTAAAATATTAAGGGCTATAGTATGCACTGATTTCATTAATATAATTATCTCCAAATTTGTAGTTTATATATGTATAATATTTTGTATTATAGGATCGTTTTATGGCAAGTTTAAATTCAAAACAACTAGAAATTGATACAAGTGATGTTTCACTCGGCACTCTTTCAAAAGCTTTCAAATTTGCATCACGAACAAGGATGAAAGTAAGTAACAATATTGATAGCATTATTGCGGTATGATCAACATTTTGTAACTAATTATTTGCAGCATGTAAAGAAACAAATTGAAGAATGTCTTAATAGAATTGAATAATGATGCATGTTTGTTTGTATGTGTTGTATGAAAATCGGCTGCAAAGGTGCTTGAAATAATAAAGCTCAATAAAATTTATTGCACTTATTTATTTAAAAATATTATTTTCAGGTTGGAAGAGCATTTTCATTTAATAAAACACCATCAAAATTCAAGCGTGCAGTTTCAACTATGATGTCGCCTTTTGGAAGTACAAATAATTTAACTCCGTCCTCTCAATTAGCTCAGATGCGGCTTGCCAGTTGCAACAATATTAATGTTAGTATAGTTCATAATAAATAAGCTTTAGTTTTCCAGACTTAGATAAAATTAAAAATAAATATTATAGGAATTAGGTGGTGCACCAAATAATGTAAACAATGAAATGTTGGTGGCTCCAATGTCTGTACAACCAACACGAAAAACTAAGTGTTCTTCATTAAGTATAGCTGCTCTTCGTAGATTATAAAATTTCAAAAAACACCACTCCATTGATTGTGATACAAGAATTAGGATGAAACATTTGCTTTTGATAATGTTATCTTTGCCATAATTTATCATTAAGTTTACAAATGACTTTCAATTATACATTTTCATTATACATTTATTGATAAGGACCTTATATGCCATGAGCACAAACTGATGTTCACCATATAAGATTAAAAAGGAGGAGTCTATGTAAATAATAATACTATTTTATTAATAATCATATTTATATTAAATAAGTTATAATTATTGACAAAATTATCTAAAATATATTTTATATGAAAATTTTTATGATATTTACGAGGATTAAACTACTATAGTTTAGTATATAGAATCATTCTAATATACTTCAATATTCAATGAAATTTCGTTTTATTGCTGATTTATAGTTATGTTTGTTTTAAATAAGCTATAAATAATAGAGATTTCTCTTTCCTCAGCCTTGCAGCCTCTTAATAAAATTTATATCGATTACTCAAATATATACAAAGCTAGATAAAAATTGTGAAGTTGTGCTTCTACTATTTATATAGTCAGCAAGCTTTTTACAGTCTCATTATACACTTTTCTTAACTAATATTGAGAAAGAGCATTCATCACATCCAATACACAAATCTTCATTCAGTGAAGCAATTTCATCAATAACGTAAGTGCCACCGCATCGACATGGATAATAGTATATTTCACTCTCATCATCATAGCTCAATTCATCACGGGTCAAAGTTGCATATAAAATAATTTTACTTTGTTCAGAAAATAATTCAGCATCGTATTTTTTCTGGAAACTGGATCTCCTAAAATTTTCCAGGCCGTAACAGAAATATATGTATCTGCTGGATGAATACTTATCTGGGTGGCATTTTAAAATCAAATTTTGATATGCTTTTCTTATTTCAGCCGACGAAGCATCATTTTGGCAGCCTAAAATATCGTACAAATTCTTTTCTTCTTTCACCTGCATGTTACCGTGCCCATCATAACCTACAAATTTGCGATTAGCGTGTGCTTTTCGCCACCTTCGTAGCACAGTGCTGTCAACAATAACGAAAAGAAAATGGTTGTCTAATTTGAGAAAGAGATAAATCACTCATTCACGTTTGGAGTTTTTTTTATGGCAAAACTCAATTTTGAATAATGTAAAAATTATTTTATTTATTGCTACAAAACCAAAGAGTGTTATCATTCAATGGATTTTAATTTTGTTAAATGACAAAATCTTTTGCTGCCATCCTTATATTGTTTTCTTTCGTCATTAACTAGAATGCCTACAATAATAAAAGTAGATGCTACCTTATATATTTATTTATAAATACTGTTCTTCTGCATTAATTAGATTAGAAAAAATCTTTAATGCCAATGCCTACATTAAATTGAATAAAATATTAAATATAAACATGATTTATTAAATTATAACTTTGCAGTAGATATAAAATATTACTAAATACTATATTTAAATAATAGTATATTGCAATATTATTAAATTATAATGTCGCAAATTAAATTACTGCTGGGCTGCATTGGTAGCGGGCGTCAATGAAACAGAGGCTTGATCCTTATGGTGCTTCTCAACAACTTTCTTTACATACATATATTCCCGAGACTCAGAATTTCCTATGACATTTTCTGGTTTATATGGTGGATTAATTGTAACTTGATTATAAACAACAATGTTGGGTCCTGACCAAGTCACTTCATGAATAGTTTTTGAAATAGCAATGAACAATTTTTGGCCTTCGGACTTACTCCTGCAGCAAGGGCATTAACTAGTCTTCTTTTTTGTTCAATTTGATTCCTTACACGAGTGTTTAACCTTTGCAGGTTAAGCAACGGGGGCACTTCGGGAACACAGCTCGTTTCTTGCTTAACTTGAACGTCATTGACAAGAGATAGGTTAACCATATACACATCGTTTAAATTATTCCTCCCACTGCTCGAAGGGCATTTGAGGATTAACATTTTTGTTTGTTGATCAAATGCTAACACAACACCTTCTATATCTTGATCGTGACATGTTTTGCATGCTACGGTACTACCTATTGCAAAACACTCGCTCATACCAGCCATTATCGGTTATGTTCTTAAAGCAATGTCACTGGTTTTAAATGTATAACTGCAACTTTCACATAAATATTTACTATTGTTTTGACATTAAATAACTAAATTTCCTAATTGTTCTTATAATCAACATTGCATTTAGTCCATGCAACTACGAACAAGTAAAAAACATTAATAAAAACTGTTTGCAGTTGACAACTTATGACATATGACAACTTGGTTGACAGAAATATGAAAATGGCTGAAAAGTAGACACCTCAATACCATAAGTTTTATGGAAACTTGCACTTATAATATGCTGTATAAACCATTATTCATTATAGATAAAATATTAAATGTATAGGAATATCAAAGCGCAATATTGCATCGAAATAAAATGATATGTTACATAACAAAAACCATTGCTGTCAAGTCATATATGCATATGTATTACCAGAAAGTGAAAAGTGTTACCCATAGATAAGGGAAGGGTGTTTTTCACGTTCACAAAATATAAATGCAAAAAAAACTCGATAAAAATATAATTAATTAATTAATAATATATATAATTATTTAATTAATAATATATAACATAATCATTAATGACAAAGTTTATTATTTAAAAAAAAAACTATTTTCTAACTTCCCGTAGGGTAAGTTATTGTAATGGGCCGAAAATCGAAATTAAAAATTTTTACATTTCTCGACGTTTTGAAGGTTTCCGAACATTTTGGCATACCTCAGAAAAAAATGATGTGTGTGTGTGTGTATGTATGGATACATTTTTCATCCACGTTTTTGGGCGCACGGATCAACCGATTTAAATGATTCAAAAACATTCAATCAATAATGATTGGAAGAAGTGTTTATTAGTTTTTGGCAAAGGCAGGCCCAGCCATTTCAAAGATATGTAGCTAAATGTGCAACAAACGGCAGTTTTTGAGAAAACTAAGCGTCCGGTTTAAATGATTCAAAAAACTTTCTGCTGTCTTAACAAAATAATTGATTTTGGAAAAAAATATTTTTGTTTCAACCGTTTCAACTTTTTAAATTTTTTTTTTTCAAAAAAAAATTTTTTATATCGAAAATAATTCAGATTTTATTTTTAATTATGACTAAAGTTCTAATTACTTTAAACAAATAATTTCAACTTTGCAATTCAGTTTATACAATTCTTATAAATATTAGATAATGTTACAATATTTATAATAATCTATTTGAAAACATCAGTATTTCTCGAACAGGCGCGGTGCCATACACCATGCATACACCCCACTAGTTAAACGAAGCATAGAAGGAACCATTCTTCTTTTATCTATGGAAGAACTTCCACCGGAGCAGAGCCTGCGCCATCTCTGGTTTAGGAATTTGCCTTTTCCATTTTTGGAGCATAACATAATTTATTTCTCTAGCTTCATATGTTATAACGGCGTTGGCAAAAAACAAATCATCTGACCATTGCCAGTGATTTGTCGAAAGTCTTATCTATTGTTGATTAGTGCAGAAGAAATTTTCTTTTTAATCGGACCCTGGTAGAGTTGTTCTGAAGTTTTCTGGCGAGCAAGTTCGGGTGATCAGCTAAGCGATTTTTATATTTACGTGAGAAAGCGATTATTTCATCCTTAACTGCGCTAGTGCCTGTTTCTTTGTGTATTAATCAATTTGGAACATATTTTGGTGCTTTCAAAATTTCTTTTAATAACTGGTTTTGAAATATTTGAATTATTAAAGCGTTTGAGTTGGAAGTTGATCCCCATAGCTGTATGCCGTATGTCCAAATTGGAAATCAATTAATTGATTAGATTAGTAGTATTGTATTACATATTAAACAAAAAATGAACTTTAAGGAAGCACGCGCTTTATTCTTATCTGTGGCGTAAAAATTTTGCAAAAGCCCGATTTGTTAATTTTGCTTTTTTCGAAGTTTGAAGTTTTTTGAATTGTTTGAGACCAAATTTGGAAAACGTATATGCGTGTATGTGATCCCAAATTTCATCTATCATCGACATTTTTCCAAAAACTACCATAGATAAACAAGTATAAAGCTTGAAAGCTACTGCACTGATTTTAAACATTCAAACCATTTTACTATAGTAAAATAGTTTTTATGTTTGAAATCAGTGCAGTAGTTTTTGAGAAAATGGTCAAAATATATTTTGACCAAAAACTGTATGATAAAGTTCATGGTCTTAAAGAACATTCTAAAAGAGTAAGTATAGTTAATTTTAAAGTTTAAAGTTTAAAGTTTTTATCAAAGTTTGGAATAATGAACAGCATTTTTGTGCTGTGAGCCAAAATTTGATTCTTATTCTTTAAATTTCAGAAACTGCTAAACGCATTTCAGAAATTTTGAAGTCATTGATCGGGTCTTAATACAAATTTATTGCCCACGTTTCGTACAAAACTGACGAAATAAATTTGATCACACTAGTTTAATCGAAACCGTTATGGAATAAACGTCATTTTACATAAAATATCAATAAATATATTTCGTTTTCATATATTTTAATATTGTCTCGGCACATAAAAAAGTTTCATAAAAATCAATCCAAGCGTTTCCTGGGTATTTAGAAAATTTAGTAACTAATCCATGGATTCAAAAAATATATATCCGTTATACGGATCGCATAACAGATCTAACGGGTTACAAAATGCGAAAAACTAGGGAGGATGAAATGTCTAATCAGGTAATAACGTAGTATTATTTGATGTTGGATATGGATACCCTACTGTTTGACGTTCATTTGACAATAGTTGATTTAATTTAAATCGTGAAAATGAATTCTTGCATGTGAGGTTTAGTATCTGTAATCTACATACGTTGCAAATCAACAGTGGCAAATGGTTATTATTGTCTAAACATTGTCCTTAAAAAAAGTTCATTTTGTTTTACAATTTAATCTATAATCTAATTTTAGTTGGTTCTGGTTTTGGGGATATGCACTTCCCACATCGGTGTAGTAGCCTACCAGCAAAGTTTAAGGCCTTATTAATTCCTGGTAGAATTCAACATATATTGTGCACCGGCAACTTATGTACTAAAGAATCCTATGATTATTTAAAAACTTTAGCAAGTGATGTACATGTTGTAAGAGGAGATTTTGATGAGGTGTCATAATTACTTATATATGAACTTGAAATGCAACAATATTATTAATTTTAGTTTTCTTTATAGAATCTCAACTATCCTGAGCAAAAAGTAGTAACAGTAGGACAATTTCGTATCGGTTTAACACATGGACATCAAGTATAAAATTTTTTTCAGATTAATGTTTTTAACTGTGATTATTTTGATCTGTGTAATTTCCAGGTTGTACCATGGGGGGATCCAGAGGCTTTAGCACTAGTTCAGAGACAACTAGATGTCGATATATTAATTTCTGGGCACACACATAAATTTGATGCTTATGAACATGATAATAAATTTTATATTAATCCTGGTTCTGCTACAGGGGCTTATAACATGTTGGAAACGTATGTTGATAATTTTATGTATTCCAAATTTCAGTAATAAACATCACATGACATTTTGCAAATATTGGTCCTAACACTCTTATTGAATTTTCATATATTCGCCCGTAATCTTCACTTCTTATAACATTAAGCAATGATGTATATACATATACACATATACACACACACACACACACACATATATATATATGTATATATATATATATATATAATCATCGGAACTAGTAGTAGACGTGTCTATCGTTTGAATAAAGAGTTTGCATTACTCATAGTTTGAAGTTTTTGCAAACAGCTTAGTGAAACTTCAAAATATAAGTAATACATAATTTCAAACCAATTTGTACACATTTAATAAAATAGTTTAAATAATTTTTGGTAGAATGATGGTACTTATTTAGTTATAAGTGGATTTTTACAGTTGGGCAGAAAAAGTTTCTACTAACAAATTAATTTTTTTCAATAAAATCTTACAATTAGTGCTCGATACATTTCTTCGTTCTATTCAATTTACTTTTTTTTTTTTGGATAAATTAAGAAATGAAAGCTTGTGCTTATAACTGATGACACCGAGTTCAATATAATAATCAACTTGGTTCCTAGAAATAAGTTTTGTAATAAAGTTGCGCAAATCATATTTTTCTCAGTAGTAAGGTCTTTTCTTTTGTTATATGTTAGTCTAATTAAGTACTATAAATACGCTATAATTTAATATATTCAGATTAAAATCAATTGCTTTGATTATATATTTAAATTTAGTTTTTTTTTTTTTTTCAGAAACGCTACTCCATCATTTGTGCTTATGGACATACAAAGCTCCACTGTAGTTACATATGTTTATCAATTAGTGGCGAATGAAGTGAAAGTGGAAAGAATAGAATATAAGAAAGCATAAATTGTTATTGAAATATAAATATTTGATATTTTGAAAATCATTCCTGATTATATTGATATAATATTTTAATTTTAATATATAATTAAATTATCTCAATAAGTAATATACTATAAAAAACATTTAAAAAAAAATTACATACCTATTTGATATGTACATATATATATATATATATTTGGATGACGAAAAATATAAAGCCAATTTCATCCACTAATTAAATAATTTGAGAGTAACTTTCATTAGTGTGCAATTAATGTTACAAGTGCAATGTTGATGATTTATTAGTAATAATATCTAACATGATTGATGGGTCATTTTCATCTTGAGATGCAACAGTTCATAAATGTTTGCTTAAAAGCAAATTATTAGCGTTAGAGCAGCGCCCGGTTTCTTTTTTATTTGTACACTTTCATGTGTTTTATTTTGCAACTTTTGTTTCTATGTTTTTTTAAATTTCATAAAAGGTGAAATTTGTTTTTTTTTGATTTCCAGAAAATCCATTTAACTAGTTTTTATTTTCTTGAAGTCAAAATCCAAGAAAGTATGCATGTATCAATCAAAAATTCTGATGAGAAACATGGTGATTAGCTTTTAGTAAAGATTCGCTAGGCCGTTTCTTCGAAGAATTGCACAATTTAAATGAAACTTTGTATGATTTTTAAAGTTCGTAATCTGAACTATCATCCTAAAATATTATAGGTCTTCAAAATAGTGATAGTTGTTCAATTTTATATATAGCTAAAGTAGCTGCAAAGGGCATCAATTCGATTATTGTTTTTGGATATGAGTTTTCTGTATTTTATATCATACCATTTCGATTAATTATGTTATATTTTACAACCAGGATCACGAGGATATTGGCAGTATTGAGTCACTTTCATATATGACTACAGTTTTAAATGAGGTGACTAAGTCACGGTTTGGCCTGGACAGTCCCATATATCCATCTTAAGGGCGCAAATGCGTCCAGATTTTTCACAATAATTGTCCCGGTTTCAAGTTTTTTGTCCCTTGTACCGAATATTTCAGAAGTATGGTCCATCTACTATAAATCAGGTTTATCACTCGATGATAAGATTATCAATAACACTTTATAACTATCTGCATTCCATGGAAATGCATAAAACCATTTATACTTGTTTATCTAAGCATAAAACATTGCCGACTGCAAAAATTCAAAAGTGGGTTAAAATAACATCTCACTTTAATAATTTAGAGCCTTTGTTTAGACCTGTTTTTTCCAAATTTGCGAAAATGCAGAAAAACTTAACAAGGCTTAAAAGCGACAAAAACATACAAAAAATATAAAGTTTTGCACTCAATCTCACTAAATCCGATTTAAATAAAATGTTTTTTTTTTTAACTTGAAAAAAAAACTGATTTTATTATATCTTTAAATAGCATTACAATTTTATTTACAATAAAATACGTATTTGTTATTTTCCTCGTGCAAAAACAGCCTTTTTTCAATAATTTTTTTAACATATAAAAAATGATTTTTTTTAAATTTTATATTTAATAAACATTTTGTAAAATTTTCAAAAAAATATATCAAAATGGCGGTCATTGCAAAGCCATTTCCGGCAGTCCCTCAGAAGAAAGATTCCTCCGCGTTGTCAGCAGAACTTCTTTCAGGATCATTCGAAATAAAAATAAAAAATATGTGTTTTAGTAAAGACAATAAACTAGGTATTGGACGCAGCAGAAAAGAAAAAAATGAAAATTGCTGTTTCAGATGTGATGTTTTTATGAAAAAATGCAAATTTTTCGACATTTTGTTTTAATAGTTGTAATTAAAAAAAAATCCGTTTAAAACCTTGAAAATGATATCTCGAAGACCGGTGTAAAATTTCATCAAGGTCGGTTGAGTAGTTCGCAGGAAATCTTGACCGTCTTTGAAAACATAGTTTTGAGAAAAACGCGTTTAAAGTTTTAAGAGACAATAAAGGTGGACCTCGAGCGTCCACATTTTCAAGACTTGTATCTCCGAAACTATTAGTTGGATCAACTTGAAAATTTAGGACAATATTCTAGAGATGTTAAAGAATTTAATAAAAAAATTCGTTTTTTGGAAACCGTAAAACCCGTGTAACCCCTTAAGTAATTTAGCGTAAATAGCTTCGTCTCCGTCACGGGTTTGCTTAACTATAAGTCACCTGGTTTTAGTAAAAAAAATATGGTCACAATAATTTTAAATAATTCAATTTTTTATATGTATTATACTATATCTTTTCCACTTTTCAAAATGATTTTTTATTCAGCAAATCTAAAATACATTTTAATCAATGAATTCAATTATTCAAATATTAACGTTCAATACACTTGCAGTGCAGTCTGTAGTCATGGTGACGAAACTTCAGTTTGCGCCAACTTCAACTCGCACATGCAAAGCAAAATGCAAAAATGACAGATGATTGAAATTGTAAATGTACAGAAAGTATTCGAACAGTACATTTTAGTTTAGACCCCCTTATTATTTTAACTAGGAGTTCTGGGGGGTAGAACTAGAACTCTAGACTGAGAGACTGAGAGTGACCATAAGAGCCAAAAAACCTTGGTTATTGGCTCACAGTGTATCGAGTCTGGACAATATAATAATCGAATGACAGTTTTATTGGCTTGTCCTTAAGCGATGATTGTCGCTATCTATCAGTTTTCAATTTCATTGACTTGCATTATTAATTCCCTTAATTATTTTTATTTTTGTACTAGGTTGAATTCATAGATAAAAGGAGGAATTCATGTTGTATTGACAATATGCATTTAATTTTTTTTGGTTATGTTTACATTTTCAATAATATGTTTTGAGAGAACATAGCGACGTAAATGAGGCATAGTAGATATTTAATAGTTTGCAATGAGAGGCTTAAATCGTTGAATGGCGATGATAATTTATGACAATGAGAGTAATATATGACACCAATTTGGAATGGTGTGGAACGGAAGATGTGGACAGTACTCCATCCAATTTTTCTGTTACTAATTTAGATATAATCGGTTTGATATACTCTATTATTGCACACTTAGTAGACGCTGGAGTAGATATTTATTTAGCATGTTATTATTTTTCTAATTCAAATTATGACTACTTTGCTTGGACCGTTGTCTTTATTGCTGTACCAGCTGTGATAAATACCTGCATTTCACTTACTATGTAAGTATTTTACTATAAAAAATTAACAAATAATTTAGAACCATAATTTCTAATAATTATATACTTGCAATTTTGTTCCAAAATTAAACCATAAGTTCTAAAAATTATATATGTTGTGCCATCTGGCACTTATATACACCATCCTGAAGTTCGAAAGGACAAATATTGCTTGGCACAAAATTAGTATTCTATATCATCTTAAAAGACAATATATTGTGTTTATCTACTTTGTAGTATTAAAATTATATTACAGAATTTAATATACTACTATTTTAAAATATTCTAGGTATGCTGAAGATGCCCATAATTTGAATCAAAAGCGTTCAACACCATGCTTGCTTATTAAAAGCAAAGGAAATAGATGTTTAGGTGCTTTTCAGATATTTATGCATATTCTGCAATTAGCAACAGTAGCACGTTGCTGCGATAGTCTTAAATTTGCTTTTGCAAGTAGACATGCTGAAAAAAAGAATGATAGAAAGGAACAGGTACTGATTCAAACTAATTTTATTTTAAGATCAGATTTTAGTTTTTATTAATAATTTAATCAATTATAAAGAATTTTATTGCTGCAAAGTTATTCATTATGTGTTGTATTCTGGACAATTTTAGAAATTGCAATATGAGAATATGTTAAAAGAAGACAGTGACATATCATTACTACGCTTAATTGAGTGTTTTCTTGAGTCAGCTCCTCAATAGCTTTACAGCTAACAATTATTTTGCGAGACAGTGGAAGTTGGAAAGTTTTACAAATTGTATCAATTATTTCTTCATTTCTGGGCATAGTCTGGAGCATTGCAGGATATCATCGAGCTATTCGTTTTGCACAATATGATAAAGATAACATTACATGGTGTGGAACAGGCGTTCAATTTATGTGGCACTTTTGTATAACATGTGAGTTTTTATTTTTGATTTTGTTAAAAATTAATCCTTATAATTTTATATACTTATTCAATATGTATTTTTCCATAAAAATAATTTTTATGAATGAAAATATACATATATATATATACATATATATGTTCTATCATTGGTTTAATACTTAATTGTTGATGATTAAGATAGAGTTGGACTTGTTGAAGCCAAGACAAATACATTATATAAGATTTTAATATAAAAATGAAGCTGTACATTTATCAAAAGATAAACTAGCATTTGTATATAATTGACATAATTAACAAGAATTGAGATTTAGCTATTTAGATAAAATGCTATTACTAAAATCTAATCAATGAAATTTCCAATAATATTTTTCAAACAAACTTAAAAATATGTAATTGTTTTAATTACAGTGCACAAACACGCACTTATATATTCCAATCGCGACTTATAATTACAGGCTTTGATCTATTTGTACAATTCAACCATTTCTTATTGGCCTATAATATTTAAGTATTTCTATGTTAAGTTTTCATTGAGAACCGATGTTTGCTAAAACTCTTCAGCACGATTCTCAAATAATACCTTTCGTTTTTAAATTTCTGATTGTTTCAGGATATTTCATGAAATCACTGATGAAAAAACTTGAATATCTTATATACAGCTATAAAATAGCAGCTATTTTTTTTATTTTATACCGTATCTAATTGATTTCGTAAGATTACTGATTTTTGTGTTCAATATAATATTCAGTATTTCAATATAATAATAATTTATTATTCTCAATTTTATTTCTGCAAAACAGATTAATAAGTCTTGGATTTTTATGTATTGAATAGATATTCATAAAGATAATAGATTAAGCATTGTAATTAATAAACTAAGTAGTGCATGACATTATTGCTTGAGGCAAGTTGCTGGAACTTCGCGTACCGTAATTAGGCATTCGGGCAATAAAAATAATGAATGATAATTGATTATTAACAATTGTTCAAAATATTTACAAATGGATTATTATAAATACTCGCACGAAACTGAGAAACGATAATCCTCATCGAGATACATCAAATGGCTTTTAAATTTCTAAAATCGGTTCAGACGGTTTTGAGCAAATGCCGATGGAAGGTCTAATTTTGACAAATGCCAAAAAAACGATATCAATTTTTGTAAACTTTGACGAATATTCAAAGTTAAACGATTATCGTAGAGTCGTAATATTTTAGCATGATCTATAAGACTATCTACCGCCAAAAAATTATAATAAAAATCGTTTAAAAAATTTTTTTAACACTTTATTACAAGAAAACAGCCCGGCCGATCTTTACCAAAACTAATCAGCACGATTCCCAAATTCTTTCAAACGGTTTTTGAATTCTAAAATCAATTTAGAATTGCGGGCAACGTGGACGATTTTTTTTCACTTTTCTGCTGTTTATGAAACGCTAGCCGATCGTCGCACAAAACGACAAACAACGTCATCGAGGTGCATAGAATCGCTTTTAAATTCTTGAAATCGGTCCAGCCGTTTTTGAGAAAACGTCGATTTGCGATCAACTTTTCCAAATTTGGTCTAATTCGATTCAGATGGCTTGAAACGTCGAGAAAACATAAAATTAGCAAATCGATTTTGTGATGAAAACAAACTTCTTCGGGAAGTTAAAAATTCATGAAAGCTGTTTGTTCTTACATACCAAAGAGATCCATTAACTCTTTTATATGTAAAGAAACAGTTGTAATATTTTACTTTTTTTGAATAACTACATGCTTTAATGTTGTAACTTGATCTATACGTCTTGGCGGTTCAATATACTAGTAGAATTCGATCGATTGTACCTGATTTACGATAAGGGTCGAATAAAAAAAGAACAACCCCCAAGCTATCACTGCCTTACTTAAATATGGGATCTGGTATTTTTAAATAGTTTCTACATATATATTACTTATAACATAACTAGTTCTCAACAATATATATGATATAATTAATTATGATTATTTCACAGTTTCTCGAGTATTATCATTGTCTGCTGCTGCAACTATATTTCCCCTCAAAACAATAGTGGGATGCTTTGTTCATTGCAGTTTTATGACCCTGTGGATATTTTGCTTTGACCGATCTCCTTTTGTGGCAAAACTCTGTTCCATACTTTTTTATTTTCGGGTGTTTTGGGTTTAGTGTACTTATTTACTTACATAATGTCTAATGATGGAAGAACTGCCAAAAAGTTAGTGCTGCAAGTATTATGAAAGTAATGACAAAAATTATAAAATTTTAATTTTATGTGAATTTAATTTCAGATATTCATTCTACTACACAACATGTTTTATTGAAACGATTATTTGTGTATCCATATGCTGTGTATGTGGAAGAGAATTTTCATCCAAAACATATTTATTTTGGTATAATTGTGATGAGTATCATTCCATACGTTTTAGGAATATGTTTTATGATTTTATACTATAGCAAATACCATCCAAAAAAAATAATTGTGGTTGCGTGATCGATAAGTGCCATCCTTATTGATATTAATAAATATAATTTTTCAGTAACTTAAAATTTTGGTTACAATTATTATGTTAACTTAAATTGCCTAAAGAACTAGTTGCCATTTTCTGCATAGTATTCTAAAGAGTACAAATTAAGCATATTTTGCATAACTGATATTGTTTTTAACCCTCGTTTTGAAGGTTAAGAACCGTTTATTCCAGATAATATACAATGGTTTCGAAGTCTATCTAACTTAATTTTTGAAGAAATAATAATGATTCGTAAAAGAAAAAATGAGTTTTACACTGATGAGAATGTACTAAATGAACTTATAATATTTTTAAAATTCTGATAAGCGGACAATGACAACTGCATTGAATAACGTATTTGAACATTATTGAAGTCCAAAGACCATTTTTAAATAAAAAATGTCGTAATAAATAAAAAATTTGTATATAAAATGTAATTTATTTTTCTACTAAGTAATAACATATGATATTATTTATTTTAAAACACTGTATTTAATGTAAATGATTATAATATCAAATGTAATAAATAGATGATGATAGAATATTTTGAATTAATAACTTCTTCCAAATAATGTATAAGCATTTGGCTTGTTGCTACATTTGGGATTGATGCATTTGTCATCAGAGGTAATTTTGGCAGGTTGTTCAAAAGGTATGCACAATGATTTAGCGCCCATTGATGGAGCATTAGTTTCAGTGTCATCATCCCTGGCACTATCAGCTTTGATTTTATCTTCACATGGAATACTACCACAAAATGGTGCAAGTATTATGTTCTTCCTCTCCAGTTCTTCCAAGAATTTACTCCATTCATGGCAAACTACCTTATGTTCATTCAATTCCTTTGTAGCCTTTTCCAACATGCTTTTGTGAATAACTTCTAACAATTCTTTTATATTTTTAATAGCTTCCTTCTGGAAAATGTAATTTTTTCTCCAGTGTCTCTTCTAACCACAACCACTTGTTCATTCTTGATATCTTTTGGACCAAGCTCAACCCTAAGCGGAACACCTTTAAGTTCCCAATGGTTGAATTTCCAGCCAGGGCTATAATTCATTCTGTAATCACCTTCAGCTCTAACTTTAGCATCATTCAAATTTTGTTCCAAGCAACTACAACTTTTCAATAAATTATCTTTATCCTCTTCACTTGTACTAGCTGTAATTCCACAAGGAACTATTATTGCCTGCAAACTTGCTACATGAGGTGGAAGAACCAGGCCTTGATTATCTGCATGAACCATTATCATGACACCAATTGTTCTTGTTGTTAAACCCCATGAATTTTGAAAAACGTATTTCTTTTCTTGTGTCTCAGGATCCTCATATACAATATCAAACATTTTAGAAAAGTTTTGACCCAAGTGGTGGCTTGTAGCACCTTGAATAGCCCTCCCACTTGCACTTATAAATGCTTCCACAGTAGTTGTATAGTCTCCACCTGCAAATTTTTCCTTTTCCGTTTTACGACCTTTAACTACTGGTATTGCTAAAAGTTCAGAATAAACACGAGCATAAATATCCAGAATTTGTAATACTTCTTTATCTGCATCATCTTTTGATGCATAGGCTGTGTGACCTTCCTGCCACAGAAATTCTCTGGTTCTCAAGAAGGGCTGTGGATGTTTAAATTCCCATCGTACGATATTGTTCCACTGATTCAATTTTACTGGTAAATCCCTGTAAGACTGAATCCATTTTGCAAAAGCTGGATACATAACAGTTTCTGAAGTTGGTCGAATGGCTACAGGCTCTGCCAAATCTGAATCTCCAGATTTAGTTACCCAAGCCACTTCGGGTGCAAAATCAGCCACATGCTCCTTCTCTTTTTCTAGTACACTTTTGAGACAAATATTGGAAAATAACAATTTTTTACTCCTAGCTTTTTTATTTCTCCATCTAGAAAATCTTTGATCATATCCCAAATTGCATAAGACCATGGTCGTAGAATATAACAACCAGAGACATCATAATATTCAATCATTTCACCTTTAGTTATAATTTGTGAATACCATCCTGGTAAATCAGTTTCTTTTTGAGCCTCTAGGCCTAAACGTGTTTGTTTTTTCACATTTGATTGCTTTTCATTTGTCTTTTTGTTTGATTCTTTTGGCTCTGATTTATTATCTTTCTTGTTGGTCTTTGCTGCTGATTTTTCAGGCTTATTCTGGCTCTTTGCTTGTTTAGGAGCTTTAACAACAGATAAGTCATTAACACTCGGAGGGTCTATGGAAGCTTCAAAATTTATACCAGAACTTGGCTCTGCACCAGCCACTGTTGGGATTTCTCTGCTGCAGGTTCTTT